TCCTCCACAAAGCAGGAATTGTCCTGGATATTCGAGATGGAAGATTATGGCGAAAATCTAGGCCAACTGAAAAATATCTTCTATCCACGGAATTATATCAAGCTGGTCGTCTAGATGTTCCTGTTTATGCGGCTGAGAAAAGAATCATTCCTCCATATCATGAGACCTATCTAGCTGCTACAGTCCCATCAAGTTTCGATCCAGATCCGTGGGAAGCTACCACCACCTCCATTCCAAGTAGAATATCCACCGCAAATTGTTTAGTGGTCGTTAAAAATAATTCTACAGCTTTACAAATAGCAAATCTGACGCCACGAAGACAAGTTATCCATAAAGGGCAAATATTAGCTTATCTAGAACCATTAGCAGGCCAATGGATCACACCTTCAACCGGAATTCTTCGGCCACAATCACAACATCATACAATCCATAGTCACAACAACAATATGTATGATGACGAAAATAATGATCAATGTAGCGTCACCAACGCTGAAGATATTCATCAACATCATAATAATAATGCAATCATTAATTATCAAAGTATTAATAAAAATTCATTAATTAATGATAATTATTCGATGAAGCATCCAAATCCAACAACATTTCATGGACCAATATCATTAGCATCTGATCCAACGTTAGAACTGGAACCGCTGATGCCAGTCATAAACAAAGAAGGATTAACTCATGTAGGGACACATATTGACACATATATTGACTCACACAATTCGATGAGAGAAGTTGAAGAAGAAGGTGGACAAGAAACCGAACATGAAAAAGAAGAAAAATACACGTATGTTGTAGTTAAGGAAAATAAGGAATCTTATAATGTATCTGCTCCTTCTTCGTCTCAAGCGCCGGAAAGCGAGGAGTTTCGGGCTCAGCTTTTGAGAGACTTGGATCTCTCCAGTGCTTCTTTAAGTGATGTAGAGGAAAAACTTTTGAGTGATTTAGTTCTCAAGTACGCCGATCTATTCACTTCAAAACCTGGACGTACTAACATCATTAAGCATCATATTGATGTTGGTGACGCTAAACCAATTAAACAGCAACCTTATCGTGCTCTGCCTCCACGCAGAAATTATATCACTCAAGAGCGGATTCAAATGCAAGAGCAAAACATAATTGAACCCGCTACTGGACCTTGGGCAGCTCCAGTTACATTGCAGCCGAAGCGAGACGGAACAATGCGGCGCTCGTTAGGCCCTTTCTAACAGCTTCACAAAACAACCTCCAGATCAGTTTTCCCAAACAGTAACAATTATTGTTTTCACAACAATTAATATTATTTACAAAAACAAATCTACGACAGTAATAGTAATGTAATTCTACAACTAATAAATGAGAAATGTTATTGTTGAGGGTGGTGATTCCTTCTCTTGTAATTACTGCTTGTTCGAAGAATATGTAATGCAATATGTAACGATTGATATGGAGAAGGAGAATCGAAAACTAGTGGTCGAAAACAAGTATTGCAAACGAAATACTAAATTATAAAAATATTAATATAAATTAAATATAACATTTAATTTATATAAACTACTAAATTATAATATTAAAACTCCTGCTTCCCTATGTATAAGAGAAGAAGAAGAAGAGATTTGAATTTGAGAAGAATGTTTAAGAGAGATGTTAACTTGAAGATTAAAGTTGAGAATAAGAGATCTGAATTTGAAGTTGAAAATTGACAAGAAGCTAAAAAGTTTTAAATTCACTCCTGATTACAACTCGTTTTTCGTGTAACCGAGGAACAACGAATATAACTGTTAAAGCAAATTATTGTTTCATATTCATTCATATTTTTAAGATGAATGAATATGAATTAATTATTTCATTCTCTCTCTTTCTAAAATTCACCAAATAAATAACGTAAACGGAAACAAAAATCTCGAACTAAAGATTAAGCAAAAGGACACAGAGGTACATTATACTAACGTAACTTCGGGTTCTTAGAAATAATATCACTGTATTTGACGACGAGTAATGAAAGATAACGGACATGGCCGTTACAATGACCGCCCTTCCCAGGCGAGATTCGTCCTCGAATCTCAAAATAAATGAGTAGGAGGATCTCGACGTTAATACCCATGCTATAAGACAAATATTAGACAAAGGAAGAGTGGTATAGTGTAAACTCCAGATGAATATAAATAAGTTTTTAACTAAGCAGGAAAAAGTTTCTGTTTTTGATTTTCATGCGTTTTGCTCGCGCCATAACAATTCTCACCAGGCTGCTAGCTACTACTGCCATATTCATTTTACAATACTGAAAATAAAGAGTTGAATCTTCTCTTTCTCGTATTTAATCAAAATCATCATCGTCGGCAGCAGTAGTTATA